CTTCCAGTGACATAAAACTCAGTACTTTATTAACCAGACCATTCTGTTTTTGGATTGCTATAAAGTTTTTTGTTTTAATTTTTATTTAGCATATTTCTGATGGGCTTTTGGCACCAAAAAAAATGAGAAAAATATGAAAAAGCACACTTCATTGATGCCTTTTATATTTCCATCTTAGTTATTTCTGGAAAAAAGATATCCTCACACCTGCCACAGTAGATTGTAGATGAAACGCTAGGAAAAGTTCCCTCTATGAAGAGCATATATAATTATATATACAACAGTCTACCCTAATAGTTCTGCTTGCTGTTCTGCCCTGGGAGAAGGAATGGTTTGAATTTCTCTCTTCTCCAAGATAGTGATTTCTCAGTTACTTCAAAGTTAATCTTAATTTTGGTCTTTTCATTTACACTGTTGTGGTTATTGGGCAAAATTTTCTTTCATTTCTGCTTATTTCCTCTGCATCCATTCATAGGATCATAGATTTAGAGCTGAAAAGGACTTCTTTCTCTCCTTCCCTTCCAAGCATATGCATGGGTTAGTGACTTCTGGGTGTACTTCTAGATGTCTTAGAAATTTACAGCCCTTAAAACAGTTGTTTTCCCTTTTTGTCAGTGTGATAGGTGTGACGCAGAACATCAGAATTGATTTAGTATGCATTTATTTCTCTAATACTAATTTTAAGCATTTTTTTCATATCGTTATGAATTGCTCACGTTTCTTCCTTTGAAAACTGCCTATTCACATCCTTTGACCATTTTTAATGGTATTTTGCTGTCCAGAATGGTTGGTTCATTTAACAGCTCCAACCACCACTAAAGCAGTGTGCTGGTCTTCTTATAGCCCTTCCTTCCAACATTGAAGAATCTCATTTTTGTCGTCTTTGCTAATTTGTAGGATATGTCATGAAACTTGGTTTTTTTTTAAATAAGCTTTTATTGATGTGTTGTTTCTTAAATCATTATGGTTATCCCCAGTATCTTCTCCTTTTTTCCCTCTCACAGAGTCATGTTACATAACAAATAATATTTTTAAGAGAAAAAAATAGTTTAACTGATAAGATAGATACATTGAAAAAGTCCTAAAACATGCCATGTGTATAACACCTGTTGACCTTGAACCTCCATGTGTTGAATGTCTTTTTCATATGTCTTCTAGTCATGCTTTGATCTTTATAATTTTGTTACATTCATTTTTTTATTTTGGTGTGGATTGTTCTTTCTATTTACATTGTTGTAGTTTTGTATATTTTTATGACTCTGCTTACTTCACTCTTGAGTCACTTCATGTAGATCTTTCCATGTTCCTCTGTATTCATCATTTACATTACTGTGCAGTAATATTCCATTACATTCATGTGCCATAATTTGTTTAGCTGTTCTGCAATCGATAGGTAACTACTTTGTTTCCAGTTCTTTGCTATCACAAAAAGTGCTATTATAGATATTTTGGTATATCATGGGGACTTTCTTAAAGCTTCCTTGAGTCATAAACCCAGTTATGCATTCTCTTGTTCAAAGGGTATGACATCTTTTGTTGTTTAGTCATTTTAGTTATGTACCACTCTTTGTGACTCTGTTTTCGGGTTTTCTTGGCAAATATACTGGAGTGGTTTACCATTTTCTTTTCCAGCTCATTTTTATAGACAAGGAACTGAGGCAGATAGGGTTAAATGACTTGCCCAGGGTCACACAGCTACTAAGTGTCTCAGGCTAGATTTGAACTCAGGAAGACTGATTTTCCTAATTCCGAGCCCTGTGCCCAGTCCACTGTACCATCTAGCTGCTGTGGACACCTTAGTCACTTTATTTAAATAATTCCAAATTGCTTTCCAAAATGGTTGCAGTGCTTTTCAGTCCCATCAATAATGCACTCATGTGCCTGTCTTCCCTCAACCCCTCCAGCACTGACTGTTCCTATCTGTTGTTGTCTTTGTCAGTTTGTAGGGTTTGATTGAAACCTCAGTGATGTTTTGTATTTCTCTTATTAGTGATTTAGAGTGTTCTTTCATGTGGTTGTTAATAGTTTACAAATTTTTTGTAGACCTATTTTTTTACATCCTTTGACCTATTACCTTACCTGTTGGGAAATGGCAGTTGCTCATGGTGTGTGTGTGTGGGGGGGGAGATACCAAATCTTTATTCTTTATCAGAGAGATTTGTTACCAAGATTTTTCCCCGTATGAATGCTTCCCTTATCCTAGGTGCATTAGCTGTGCAGAAGCTTTTCACTTTCAAGTAATCAAAGTTATCGTTTTTTTCTTTTGTAATTGCCTCTATTCCTTGTTTAGTTAAGAATACATCTAATTACAGATGTGAGAAGTATAGAATTTGTTTCATTTCTAATTTTTTAATAATATGATCTTTAATATTTAGGTCACATGCAATATGGTGTAAAGTATTGATCTGAACCTAATTTCTGCTAGACTGCTTAACATGGTAGGTTTTTTTTTTGTTTGTTTGTTTTTTGGTGAGGCAATTGGGGTTAAGTGACTTGCCCAGAGTCACACAGCTATTAAGTGTTATTTGTCTGAGTCCAGATTTGAACTCATATCCTCCTGACTCCAAGGCCGGGGCTCTATCCACTGTGCCACCTAGCTGCCCCAGCTGCTTAACATTTTTACCAGAAGTTTTGTCAAATAGTGAATATTTACCCATTAGGTGGATTCTTGGGGTTTATTAAACATTAAGCTACTTTTTGTTCAATTGCTTCTGTATATTGTATATCTGATCCATTTTACTGATGGACTTTTTTTAAAACTTAATTTTCTTTTTCAAGTGTTTCAAATCTCTGTCTTCCTCCTTCCTCCTCTTCATTGAAAAAGAACAAAACCCTCACAACGTGCCTTGAGTTTCTTGCCACTTTCTTGTATAACTCTCAATTTATTTTTCAGTTGTTTTCTCTAGCTTTTTCATTTATAAAATCATTTTAGCTTGTTTTTTTATACTCTTCCTGTCCTAGGAATTCTTTTGAGCTTGTGCCTAAATTAGTTTTTCTTTGAGGCTTTGCTTATAGATGTTTTGGAGGCATTTTTTTCTAAGTTTGTTTCTTGAACATCTGTGTCATCATACTAGCTCTTTATGTTGGTATTATTTTTTTTATTTATTCTTCCAGCCTTCCTGACTTTGGATTTTGTGGTAGGGCCAGTCACACACTTAGGAAGGCAATGTCTGAGCCATGCTTAATCCTGTTGTGTAACCTGTTGGGTTGTGCTATATAGCCTTCCACAGGTCAGGCTGAGGAATCTCAGAGCTTCAATAACAGTCTATTCCAGAAATCAGCTAAGTTCCTGGAATGCGCTTGTGTCTTAGCAACACAACTGTGGGCTTGTCTGGTTGGAGCTCCATAGATAGCTGTTCAACCTAGCCACTATTGGCCAAGTGGAAAGCTCTGTAGATTGAGAGTGACAGAAGAATAGATTCTCCTTTGGTTTGAGCTTACAGCCCTTATTTTTCTACTGTAGGTTTCCGATTGGGGGCTGGTTCTGTGATCCTGCTCTTTTCACAGTGTCCAAGTCACACAGCTGCTACTTGCTTTAGCATAGTCAGTTCTACTATAATGTGACATATGCTATTCTAAAAATCACTACACTGTGCAGAATCACTATAAAAACTCCATGACTTATGGGGAAAATGAGGTTAAAGGTGCAGCACTAAAAATACTGTCAGTGACGCATCAAAAAAAGATGGGAAGCTTATAAAAAGATTAGCACAGTTTTATAATTGTTAAATGCTTTTAAAAATACATGAATTCTCCAGTAGTTGACAGTGTCTGCAACTTAGGGCTGTTATTTGGCCTGTCCCTCAGTTTTGGGTTAGCAAAATCAATTGCTTTGGGTGAGAGGATCAAGACATGGTGGGCAGTCCTGATTGGGACTTTATAGAGTAGTGGGGGTTCAACTACAGTACTGCCTTCTAGGTTGATCTTGATCTCTCTTTTATAACTAATACCAAATCTTTTTCATGATTTTTGCTTTGTAGTTTAGTTTGAGATCTGGTATTGTGGCAGGGATTCTTTTTGGGGGGGGGAGGTAATCCTTTGTCACCTCTCATTTTCTATAAGTATTATAGTTGTTTTTCTTTAGTCTAGCTTTTGGACTCTTCATAGGCAGTAGAAGAATGAATTCTGAAGATACTCTAGCTTATTAAATTGGAAATGAAGTTTTTTTGGTAGGAAAAAATAACAATTTTACCTTGAACACTGTTTTGGTTTTTAGTAAAATGTACATTTTTTTTAATAAGTGGCAAAGAAGAATGTTGTACTACTAATTGAAGCACATTGGTAAAAAATCTGTTGTTTTTGTTTTGTTTTGTTTTGTATTTTGAAATCGATCAACCTAGGAGTAGGAAAGGAGGCTGGAATCCTAATTTACCAGTTTTAGAGCTCATCATTTTGTATTTAAAATGGATTTTTTTTCATGAATCAATGCTATAGATAGAGTATCATATTTTAGTTCTATATTATTGATTAATGTTATTCATTTTCTACAGGGATCCCCATTCCCCAAGAAAGTAAAGATGAGGAGGAAAAAATTGCCATTGCTATTCATGCATAAATTGGACTAGATTAGGGATTCTTGACCTTGTTTGTATCATGGACCCCTTTTGTAGTCATGTGTTGCCTACAGACTCCTTCTCAATAATGTTTTTAAATGCATAAAACAAAATAATGAATTACATAGGATTACAAGGAAACCAGTTATGCTAAAATAGAGTTAAAGGCACACAAAATCTCAGGTTAAGAATTTTTGGACTTGAAAGTCTCTTCTGACTTTGAAATTTTGTGTTTCTGGGGACTTAACACCTCTATGTCCTTGGGGAAATCACTTATTTGGGGACTTTTTTTCCTATGTATACTACAAAGAAGACCTTAGACTAGATGATCTGAGGTGCTTTCTGGCTGTGCTTCTAACTAGTTGTGGGCAGCCATCTTATTTTTACCAAATAAATATAATCCATTGTTGTCTGTGGATCTTACTGATAATTTTTTTTTTTTTTCAGTTTAAAAAGTGGATCATGGTACACATGTCAAAAGATGGCAAGATCACGGTCCAGATCACCTAGGTGGAAACAGAGGTAAATGTTTCCTTCTTTATGAAATTCAGTGTTCGTTTAGTTATAGTTGTGATGCATTATAAATTGAGTAGGCTGATACTGGTAAAATTCTGTTTGAATGTACAGACTATTGTAATGGAATTTGCTAATACTTAGGAGTTACTTGTTTAGATATCATTTCTGACCTGTGAGACATGAAATTTGGGTGCGATAGCCTTTTATTATTGAATTAAGAAGTGGAAAGTGCTATGAACACTATCGAGGAAAGGGAGAAAAATGTAAGATGTGTATTGGCCTATTTTGATGAGTTATTTAAAGCCCTGGAGTATTTCTTTCTTAAAAAAATAAAAAAAACAACAGACTGGAACGTTTGAAATAGGAAAGAGTGAGAGAGCACTGCATTTGGAACCAGAGGCCTGGGTTAAAATTCTGGCTTTACTACCCTAATCACCTGTGTGAATTTGGACAAATCACTCTTTTCCGCACTTATTTCCTTCTCTGGGGGACTAGCTCCTTTAATGAGGGAAATGACATACAAATAACTATGTAGATACAAGGTAGATAAAGAATATTAATTGAAGGTAATCAGAAAAGGAAGGCAATAGTATTGAGGGGTCCTGGGAATGGCCTCTTGTAGCAGGTATGATTTGAGCGAAGACTTGAGGGAAGCAGGAGACAAATAAGGAGGGAAGAGCATTCTGTACCTGGGAGGTAGTCAGTGAATATTTTGTGAGAACAGCAGCAGGAAGACCAGTGTTGCTGGATCGTAAAGTATGTGGAAGGAGATAATAAGACTGCTAAAGACAGAAAGGGGCCTGCTTCTGAAGAGCTTAAAAAGCAAAACATGATTTTATATTTAATTTTGGAGGTAATAGGGATGGAGTTTATTGAGGGGGCAAGGAATGGACCTGTGCTTTAGGAAGACCACCAAAAACATTGAAATTAATGGATTTTTGTACTATTGCACTATAGGTAGAAATTTCACAACTAGGTCAAGAGAGCACCATTACTATGAGCTATCTGTTGGGAAATAGAAATTAACTTTACTCTGCAGAATAGTTCATTTTAATAGGAGCCTTTTTTATACTTAAGTCAATGTGGAAGGATCAAAAGGACAGAAGCTAAGAGTTTTGTTAAAATTAATATCCACTTTAGCCACTTTGCTCTGTATATATAGTTAAAAACAGTTGTTGTTTTGTAGTTTAGGACCAGTTTTTCACTGTGGAAGGTAGCACCAATAAGAGAAAGGATGCATAGTAGTGTTAGTGCTAGAGAAATCTTTAAGCCTCACTTGTTTTTTCTTTGGTATTTGGTGAAGCAGTGGGGTTAAGTGACTTGCCCAAGGTCACACAGCTAGTAAGTGTCAAGTGTGTGAGGTTGGATTTGAACTTAGGTCCTCCTGATTCCAAGGCCAGAGCTCTATCCACTGCACCACCTAGCTGCCCCCTTTAAGCATTACTTTGTCCAACACCTTCACTGTGTACTCTAGAGATCAGACTCAGGGCAATTAAGTGACTTTGCAGTAGTCACAGCTAATTGGTGTGAAAGCTAGAACATGAACCCAGTATTCTTTCCATCGTGCCTTGCTGCCTTCTCTGGGAAAATTTGTAGTGCTCACTAAACATCAATAATCTTTTAAAATTTAATTTTTTTCATTTAACAAAAAAAAAAAAAATTCCTGTCCCCAATGTGGGAGGAAATGGAGGAGAGATGAAAAAGCCCCTGTAACAAATATGCAAAGTCAAGAAAAAAAAGTTTCGGCATTGGCCATGTCCAAAAAATGTATAAATGGATCCATTTTTGGAAGAATGTACAGCTTTCAAAATAGGAAGTATTCTGAGAAGTGATCCTGTTTAATCTTCTATTCAGTGCAAGAATCCCTTCTTTATAGTTATTTGGAATACTTATGCCATCCCTTATTCAACTCTTTTCTTACTCTTTCTATAGAAATTTATGGATACTTTCTTGAAATTGATTCTGTGAATATGCTCACCTTATTGGCTATAATCTTGCTATCTTGAGTATTTTAAAGTCAATTTCACTTCCCCCTTGGTCCTAACATTCCCAAATAGCGTATTCAGTAATCAGCAGATTGGCATGAAGACTCACAGTTGAAGACAGAAGATGTTCACTTGAAGTGGCATTTAAAAATAGAACATAAATTTATCAAAATAGAGTTGAGGCATAGTGTCAATAAAACTTCAGAAAAAGGAAGTAAGTTAGAGATATAATTTATGGGAAGACTTTGCCTTGATATAGAGGCTTCTTAAAACTTCCACTTCCAGGAGCCAAGATGCCAGAGTAAGAAGTAAGTTGCTCTCACCCTCCCTTATTGACCTTTGAAAGCCCAGAGAATATTGCCCCAGGAAAAACCCTGGAACAGCTGAGTCAGCTGAAAGATAGGGTGCAGCAGTCTTGTAAGCCAGGAGGCTTGGGGAATTAACAGGAAAGGCCCCTTTCACTCTAAGGGAAGAGGGAGCACTACAGAATGGGAGGCATCCCAGCAAGTCCCACCTCAGCATACCAGGGGGAGATCCTGAGGCCTAGGGTGGTGGAGCAGGCAAGGGCCAACACCACAACCCCCAGGTTCCTCAGGACAGGCAGGGGAACTGGTAGACACCAGCTCAGAAAACCACCACATGCGATGGCATTCTCCAGCAGTCAGATCTCCTGGTATCTCAGCACAACTCCAGGAGGCAAAGCTCCAGGCTGACAGACATCCTCCAGCAGCCAAACATAAAAATGCAAGGCTTGGGTGAGCAGGCATCCCCCAGGGGCCAGACTCCCCACCCCCACCCTAAGAGTTCCTTTGTTGCTGACCCCAGCCCAGAGCTTGCCAGCACCTTAGGCCCCAGCACACAAAGCCAGTGACCAGGCCCTGGGCTCCCAGCATAAGAAGCTTGGATCAGTGTCCTCTGTGCTCCAGCAGGAGAGCTCAACTTTTTCTTAAAAGTCAGAAAATAGACAAACACCCTGGGCAAAAAGCAGAAAAGGACAATGGCCATAGATTCTTATTATGGGGACAGGGAAGATCAAGGCACAAATTCAGAAGAGGACAACATTGTCAATATACTCACATCTGAAACCTCAAGGGGTGGGAATATGAACTGGTCTCAAGCCCAAAAAGCCGCCTTGGAAGAGCACAAGAAGGATTTTAAAAGTCAAATAAGAGAGATAGAAGAAAAATTGGAAAAAGAAGTGAGAGGTATGCAAGACAGTCAATAGCTTGGAAAAGGAAGGACAAAAATTAACTATAGGAAAACAAGTCCTTGAAAAGTACAGTTGGCCAAATGGAAAAAAGTACACTGAAGAAAACAATTCCTTAAAAAGTAGAATTGGCCAAATGGAAAAGGAGGCACAAAAACTCACTGAAGAGAAAAACTCCTTAAAAATTGGGCCAAAATACATATGGGCCAAATGGAAAAGGAAGTACAAAATCTAATACAAGAAAACAGTTCGTTAAAAATTAAAATTGGGCAAGTGGAAGCTGATGACTCTACAAGACACCAAGAATCAGTCAAACTGAAACAAAAGAATGAAAGGATAGAAGTAAATATAAAAAAAAAATCAGCCCACAAAAAACCCTCACCTGTCTTTTTGACTGCATTGGTCTACTTAGAGGAGGGGCCTTATGTAAGGATATAACCTGAATAAATACAAAAATATATTTTGTATGTGTACAAGTGCTCAGTGTTTGCTTATCTAAAATTTTGGCATATATTACCACTGGCAAAAAGTGTTTGTGTGTTTATGTATATTTTTATGGAATTTGAGGAGGTATAAGATTATTTAAGGGAAGGTTGGGAGTATAATCAAGTAATTATAAATTCTAACTTTGAAAATCATCAGATTTGTCTACAGTAGCTTAAATTCACAGGGTTGATTTCAAATGCTTATGGAAGAGTCAAAAACATGTAAGACTTTGTTCTGATTCTCTTAAAATAGAATCACCTTTTCTGTTTTTGTTTTTAAATACAGGTCTTTATCACCAGAATTTAGGAATCCTGAACACTATAGACAGAGATATCTCCATGGCAGTTATGACTATGAATACAAAGGGTTTAGGAAGGATCCCAAAAGGACCATGCCTTGGAGAATGGACAGTGAGAAATATGAACAAAATGATGCAAGGATCTCCTCTCACGGAAATATACATCACAGAATTTATGATCACAGGTCACCTTCCCCAAGTGTAAGGAGGAATTCTTTAGAAGATACTTACAGTTATAAATCTCACCGGGGATATTCACCAGAAAGGAGTGATAGTAGTCGAAAATTTCATTATTTTTCCAAATACTCAGATGTACCACCCTACAAAGAACATGAATGGTATTATTCTTCACAAAAAGTACAAGGAAGGTATGTGCCTGATGATGCCAGATTTACTGGAATTGGAAAAGAAGTGAAGCCTTTTCATAGATCAGCAGACTCTTTTAAATTTGAAGGAAAGTGGCATGAAGATGACCTCAGGTACCAGAGGATACAGGAAGACAAATATGCTCAGTCACCTCGTAGAGGTCTTGAAGAACTTGTGACAAGGAGCTCTTTTCAGAAGAGGTACAGGAAAACATTAAACCTGGGTAATGTAATATAAAGCTTCCAGCGAAAAATAGCTTTTTACATTATAGTTGAAGAGAACTACCTTGAAAGGCTTTTGTCTAAAACATTTTTAAAAATTGTAATTTTGTTATGGGCTTTTGGGAGTTCTGAAGTATTTATCTTTAAGGTAAATCATGTTGATGGCTAGAATATTTTTTTAAAAGGATTATTATTTTTCTTTTAACTACTTTGTGCCTCTCTGCACACACAGGCTTTTGTGGATTATAGGTTAACTTCTGCATTCTGCATTTAAGGCCATTCTGTACAACATTCTACACATATAAATTCTCACTTTCTTCTCTCTAGTGCAAGTGTAAACTGCTTTATGTCAACACAGGTATCCTGAGGATGGTGATTTCAGAGAATATGGACATACGTCAAAAAGAACTAAAGACATGGAAAGATATGAAAACAGAGAGCCATCCAGGAATCCTAAATGGAAGCCAGAACACTCTTTCCCATCTTACCAAGAGAAGAAAGGACAAAGGAGCGTTGAACCTCAGATCTATCGATCTGCAGAAAGGGAGTACCTAGAGGATAGTTCGTTAGCAAAGGTGTCCTATGGCTATCGACACAAACATTATAAGCACTCAGATGAAGAACAGTCTTTTTCTAATGGAAGAACACACAAGTATTCCAAGGAAGAAGAAAGAAAATACAGTTCTCCAAAGGGTTCTCTAAATAGAGAGTTAGATTGTTTTAGTAGTAGTGGAAGAGTGAGAGAGACTGAGGAAGGGAACTTTGATATTTTAAAATATGCTAAGAAGGCCTGTAGTGCCTGTGCTAATCCTTATAAAAATGATATTGATATGAGACTCTTTAATAACAAACTGAAGGAAAGAGTAAAGAAAGAAATTGATTTCAAAAAAGAGCAAGATTTTTCCAGTAGTCATCATGATACACGTCACAGACCTCCAGATGGGAAATCTTCAAATGTCAGTCTGAGGAAGAAATTGCTTACAGTTAAAGTGGATATGAAGAAGACAATAGATAAGTACAGGTATTTATCTTTTCTCTGCTTTTCTTTGAGGTCTACTAAAAATTTTTGCTTGATCTTTACTTTTGGCTTATAAAAATCTAGAAGCATATCAGAGTAGAAGAGCAGATCTTAGTTTTTCAAAAAGTCCTGTAATGGTGGTGCTCATCAATGACAAGTACATATCAGTTTATAAAAACAATGTAAATTTTGCTGGTACCGCAACTCCTTGTGTCCTTTGTTAGAACCTTCTTAATTACAGGTAAGGTAAAGATGTTAAAGGAATCATAAGATTCCTTCCTGGATATTCAAGGGAAAAAAACATTGTAAATACATCTTACAATTATGTCAAGTATCCATGAAAATAATTTTTATTTGAGTTAGTGGGGTGGGGAGAGAGGAAGAGTTGGGTTGAGATTATGGGTATTAGAGAGGTGGGTGACCTTTTGCTCAATCAGAGAAGGGAAGAAGTAAAGGAATTAGTTCTGGAATAGGCCTGAAATTTTGTAGATCTTGAAAAAAGCTGGCATGATGGACACTGTTCTTTTTACCCAAAGAGTGCCAAGGAATAGACCTTTTAAGGGCTTAAGTGGGGCTAGATAGGCTTTTTTATTATCACTTTCCTTCCTCCCCACCTTACCGACCGCCCCTCAAAAAACAACAACAACAACAAACATTTAAACCAAAAAGATTCTCTCCAGGGGGAGCAGATGACTACAGTGGGAGAAAAAAGATGTAAGTTATTCCCTTGGACTTCATACTTAACTCTTACTTAGCCAGAAAGAACTAAATTAGACTTACTTTCAGACCCAGCCTTAAGTCAAAAGGGATTTTAATTGAATTAAATATTAAGGCCTAACTGCTCAAAGAATGCTGACAAATGCTAGAAATGGATTTGGTTTTTGATTCATTTGATCTTTCTTGATCAATTAGATATAAAAGGTGTAAAATAGTAATGTTAATTGGGATAACATGTGGACTAAATCACCCATCAAGTGACTGATGAAAGATTTTTCCAATAGGGGAAAATCAGCTGTTGAGAGTATTTGTTACATGCTTGAGTTAGGAAGGGAGGAACCTTCATTCTGTGAGGAAAGGGCCTCGGCAAAATTGGGCAAAAATACAGAACAGTGCTTTAAAACGTTTTAAGATTAGCTTTGAAAACATCCAAAGGGTAAATAGTAGTCCTGTTCACCTTTAAATGAGTAGAAACAAATACAAGGGGGCAGGGTGAGAAGAGGAGAGCAGAAAAGTACTTTTTTATGCATGGCTGCTTGTTGGCAGCTTTGTTCTATTATTTACGAATTTATCTTTAAAAATACAGTATAGTTGAGTTTATTTTAAAGAATCCTTTTCCAGACGAATCTTTAATGGAGATGTCATTCTTTCTGGATGCTTCTTGATCTTATATCGACTCTTCCCTTTTCCATTTACCTATCGTTGAAATCTTCCCCTAATTTGCATGAAGTCACTTTTTGTGTAATTAAATGTCAATATATAAAATATCTCCAGGCATTTTCTTATGATTAAAAGAGGTAGAAAAATGGTCAACTACTAAAAGCATTTGAATTGATTTTAATACCCTTGACATTAGTTCCTTTCTCCCTATTTCCTTAAAAAAAATTTTTTCCTATAAAAAAGAAAATAATAAAAATTTTATACTACCCTTATGCTTTATTAAAATGTGCATGACCTAATTCTTTTTGGTCCTAAGTAAATATCAGATGAAATTAAATATGGTATTTTTATTTTGTTTACTTATTATTCAAATTATAATATCCCAGAAGGTACATTAATGAAAAAAGCTAGCTTCAGCTAATGAGGGGCAGGGGGGAAGAGTAGAGGTCACTGGCAGGGGACTTATATTAGAGCCAGCGCTTTTGACTATATTTTAGTCTTTGAGATATTTGTTTCTCTTGCTTGAATACTAATTACACATCCTAAAATTAGCAGTTTCGTGTTATTTTGTGTGAATGTTAATTTTAGATTTGCCTCTTAAATCTACTAAGTATTAATATCTTCCAGTTTAGAGTAGGCAGGATGCAAAGCATAATATGTACTTCATTCTTCATTTAGTAAGAATAAGAAACCCTCATACTTGCTGCACCTCTAAAATATAGTCTTGGAAAGGGAAAATCTATAGGTATGTACTTATAAATAATACAGTTTATAGCCCATACTGTTTTTTGTTGTATGGAAGGCAGCTTTGGGCAGTCTGTTCAGATGAGTCAATTACCAACAGATTTAATGATCACCTACTGTGTTTCAGGCCCTGTGCTAGGTGGTAAGAATATAAATACAAAAAATTAAACAGTTCCTGCTCTCAAAGAGCTTATGTTCAAATAGGGAAATGACAAGTGTGTGCGTGTGTGTGTGTGTGTGTGTGTGTGTCACACACAGACACAGACACACCCCTAAATGTAAGAGAATAAATAGAAATAAATACAAGACAGAAGAGAGCATTAGTTCAGGCAATCAGGAAAGACTTCACGTAGAAGGTGTTGTGGGAGTGAAGATAGATAACCTTAGTAAAATGGATCACTGGTGGTTACATGACAGTAGAGGAAGCCAAGAGGATGAAAGAAGTGGGAGAGAAAGATCCGGGATGAGGGGATGTTTATTCATTCTGGGATGGATTGGATACTTATTGGGTATTGTGTAGAGTAAGTTGAGATGTATGGGGTTGAGATAGTGGGAGGGAGGGATTGGGGATAATTTGCTCCTACGTGACCAGTAATGGTAGGGTAAGAAGAACAGAGAGTGGAAGTTCGTTAGCCATAGAAGTAGTAGAGAATGGAAGATGAACAAGAATGTTTATAGTCTCCTAGGAGTTATTGGTCAAGAAGGGTTTCAGGCATGGGTCACCCTGCCTGTTCCTCCTTGGGTCTGGCTAAATCTAGAGAATACTATAGCATCTCCCTGATTAGGTCTGGCTAAATCTAGAGAAATACCATAGCATCTCCCTGATCTCCCTCAGGCCTCTGGCCTGGGTTGCCCTGCCTGCTGCTTCTCCTCCTCAGTACAGTATTATTTGTTACAAATGATAAAGGCAGAAGAAAATTACATGCAGATCAGATTTAATTATTGCTATGTTTGCTTTTTTACTAAGTTATTTCCTTTATGAATTTTTTATAAACATTAGATTTAAAAAGAGTAAGTTGTGCTGAAGGATAACAGATTTATTCTTGGAAGGGTTCCAGGTTGTTTTTACCATGGCAGCCTTAATGTGTATTTTTAATATATCATCTAAAAAAAAAAGAAGATCATAGCCTAGCAAGAAGATTACATTTATTTTTGTCATTCAGAATCTGATGGTCATAGGATCCTAGAATAAGTTTATTTGAATTTCATATTTTAAAAATGAATTTTTAATAAATTGTTGAATGCAGTTTTGGATCACAGTGCTCTTCTTTTTTTGAGTAGTAAAAGGTTTGGTTATTTTTAACAAATTACTAGGATAAGCTTTCAATCTTTCACAGAATAGTTATTCTTAGGTTTTATGTGGATAGAGATTGAGGCAATTTTTGGCTTCTTAACAGGAAGCTTAAGGCCTTTCTAAGAAACCACTAAATTGCTGTTTAAAACCTTATTTTGTACTGAAATGTTTCTAAAAGTTAGGATTGGCTGTGATCTTTTTTTTTTTACTCTAATATAGAGAACAAGTTTTAAATTCAGTAAAATCACTGTGTTTTGTGATGATTTCTGAGAGACAATTGGATACTTAATGGCACGGTGGGAAAAGCTTGGATTTTGAATCGTGGGATCATAGGTTTAAAATTGCAAGAACCTTAGCAAATCAACTAATAGGTATTTAATATTAATGTTTGTTGAATTGATTAATTCTGTCCACATTAGAGCTGTCCACAACTGCTGTGAGTAGTAGAGATCTTTAAGAGAAGGCAGGATGACCATTTGTTGGGTTGGGGGAGAGGGATGTTATGGAGGATTCTTATTAAGTTATGGGTGGGTTCTGAGATTCATTGATAATACTGGATAAGGAAGCCCACCTAGGCCCAGACTGAGTCACCATTTTTCATTTTTGTAGATACCAGTGAGTAGATTATTACAATTTGAAACCTAAGTTGATGAAGCGATTGTAAACGTCACTGCCATTACCATTGCAGTTGTCATCAGCTATCAGGAAGAGTAAATTTTCCATCTTGATTACGATTGAAGTTGATCACTTGTAACTATTTTTAAAATTAACTAGTTTTTAGGTAGAGGAAAAACTTTTTAATTTCTTGGGTTATCATATTAATCAGGGAGTTGTGATCAGTAGATATTTTATGATAATCTTGGAGTTTCCAAAAACAATAGAATAGTCTTGATAATTTTCAGAAATGGCTATAATAGATTGCCTCCAGTTGCTGAAGAAGATTGTGTAAATTTTTTAACAAAATGTTGTCAAAGAAATAACACTAGAAATGTTACTTTAAAAATACGTATAGTTGCATGTCTCCTGAAGCCATAGATTTCTCAAACTTAGTATGTCCAAAACAGAATTCTTTTCTTTTTCCCCCTCATTCCATCCCTCTTTACAATTTTTTTTATAGTACTGCCATCTTTCTAGTCACCCAGGTGTTTTCACTTGCCATCATTTTCTACATCCTGTCAGTTGACAAGTCTTGTTGATTCTACCTCAGAACATTTTGTTACATTTGTTCCTTTCTCTTCGTTTTACTCTATGTTAGTGGAGGCTTACATCTGCTTTTGCCTGGATTACTGCAATAGTCTTTAATTGGTCTCCCTGCCATTACTCTTTGCCCACTCTAGTCTTCCATGGAGCTGCCAGATTGAAATTCTTAAAGCCCAGGCATGACTGGTCATTCTTCTTAGGAAGAAGCTTCAGGGGTTTCCTATTGCTTCTGGGATAAAATACAAATTGTTCTCTTTGGTATTCAAAATCCTTCATAACCTCGCTTTCCAGTACAATAATCTTAGCTTTTCAGACTGATTTCACATTATTCTCCTCTGATGTCTCTTGATAGCTAGCCATATTTGCCTAGAATGCATTCCATCCTTTGAGTGCTCACCTTCCTCACTTCAGATTCTTGGAGGCCAGAGCTCAATTCAAGTGTCAGGTGCTGCATGAGGCCTTGCCTGACCCCTTTCCCAGTTGTTAGTGTTCTGCCCTTTCCCAGTCGTTACTTAGTACTTACTTGTATGTGTTTTGTATTTACTTATGGGAGTACATATTTTTTACTCTTCAGTACCCAGCTAGATGCTTGGACTAGAGCTAATTTATTTTTTGTCTTTGTATCCCCAATATCTAGCACATAGTAGATACTTTATAAAGAGTCTAATGAATTAAACTGGTTATTTTTTTTTTTACATTCATATTAAACATATTTTCACATTAGTGATGTTGTAAGTAAAAATTAAAATAGGAGGAACCATCAGAAAGAAGAAACAAAACAGAAGAGAAAAAAAATAGCAATTCAACTTCCATAGTTCTTTCTTTGGATGTGGATAGCATTTTCCCTTACAAGGCCTCTGTAGATGGCTTAGAGAAGGGTTAAGTTTATCAATATTAGTCATCACACAACGTGACTGTTATTGTGTACAACGTTCTCTTGGTTCTGTTCACTTCACTCAGCATCAGACCATACAAGTCTTTCCAGTTTTTTCTGAAGTCAGCCTGTTCATCATTTCTTATAGCATAATAGTATTCCATCACATTAATATACCACAACTTGCTCAGCCATTCCCAAATTGATGGGCATCCTCTCAATTTCTAATTCTTTGCCACCACAAAAAGAGCTGCTATGAATATTTGTGTACATGTGGGTCCTTTTCCCATTTGTATGATCTCTGGTTAATAATTTTCATACAAAATATACAAAGTGGCTGAAATTGAACCAGAATTTGAGAGCAGGAAACTCAAAACTAAAATTTGTAGTTGAGTATCTTAATAACTTACTGTGATTTTCCATTTGGAAATAAAACTTATTTAATGAGATGTCTGCTTATACGTAGAAAGTATTGGTGATGTCTCCTTAAAGAAAAAACCCAAGCAAAATTTTCTATAGCTCAATTTTCCCTATTCTTTATCTTTATTTTATGATGTAGTGACCAATCTTTATCATAAGGAAAGATCTTTTTGTTATAATAGAAACTTTTTGCTTAGTTTTTTAAACAAGATTTTTGATCAGAAAACTAGTTTCAAATTTAGTTAAGAATGTATGCAAATTATTCTAGGGCTACTTCTAGTTTTCTACAGAGAAACAGATATCACATGATTTGTTTGCTTTTGGCAGGAAAAAGGAAAACTTCCATCCAGTGTTTGAACATCTTGACTCCACAACACAGGATGTCGAAAACAAACCATCAGGAGAATTTACTCAGGAAATCATCACAATAATCCATCAAGTTAAAGGTTAGTATGTGTTATACTTTATGGCTAAAACAGGGGGTATTTGTTGGCTTTCATGAAGTGATACAGCCCGACACATTCACTCCAGCTAATAAATCTTTATCCTGCTTATCATTGTTATTATTCTGACTGTTCAGAAGCCAAATATGAAATATATGGTAGGCAATTACCACATATCACAGAGCTCCGAAAATGCATATTCTTTGAAAGTAAAATTTTAAAAAACATGAATGTATTTGGTGTGTGTGTGTAACTTTGTGTAGAGTGACCTCATTTTTCTGGGAGCCACTTAGCCAAGAAACCAGAACACAGAACACAGCTTAGAACCAGAAAGAAAGGAATAAAAAGCCTTCAACCAGCATAGATGTTGCCAAATCCATGTGCTAAAGTGTATGTATTTTGTTTAAAGGGTAGTCCCTCAGGTCCTCCTACAGAGACTAATTTTTCACATTTTACATATGATTTTAGCAAGCCTGGTTATCTGATTTTCCATCTTACAACAGATGAGAAGCTAGAAATTCAAAATGGTTTGGGAGGGCAGGGATAATGGAGATGGGCACACAAAATAAGAATTAATAGCTGAGAGACATTCTGATAGTGAGGGAAGATGGAAACAAATGTATAAAGGTATAGAAGTCTGGCTCCAAGTATATTACACTACAAAAAATAATCATTATTTGTAATCTTGTTCCATTTGGAAGTTGGACTCTACCCCAAGCTACGTGGCTTTGGTAGGCGACTGTCTTGCCCTGCTAGGAGCCCAGACTTGCATGAGATGCCTAGCCATTCCAAACCAAGCCACCACACACAAATGCTCCCTCTGCTCCCCAGCTCTGTGGTGTCCTCTCCTATTAGAATGTAATCTTGGGCAGAAGCTCTCCTGCTTGTTTGTATTTGTACCCTTGGTCAGCAGAGTGCCTGTTGTGTAGAATACACTTTATAAATGCGTTGTCATTAATAGTGATGAAATTACTAGTAGCTGATAATTAGTAACTTTTGCATATGTTATTTCATTATCACAACTGTGTGAGGTGGGTGATATAGGTATTATTTTCATTTTATAACTAATGAAATTGAAGCTGTTCATTCACTGAACATTTATTAAGTGCCTGCTTTGTGCAAGGCATGGTGCTAGGGATACAAAGACAAAATGAAAAAACAACCCCTGTCCTCAAGGAGTTTACCTTTGTCCTCAAGCAGTTTATCTTTTTGTGAAAGGATACATTTATACAGGTAGGTAAATAAAGTATAATTTCAGAAAGGAAAGCTCACTAACAATTGGAAAATTAGTAAAGTCTTCCCATAGAAGAGGATACCTGAGATAAGCATTAAATGAAGCTAAAAATTCCAAGACTTGAGGTGTAGGATGAGTGCATTTCAGGAAGAGAGGAGAGCCTGTGTAGCGGCAGAAGAGGGAATGCCAAATTTGGGCAAACATCAATTTAGCTAAATCATAGAGCATGTTAAGGAAGAAGGGCACAGTATGAAATAAATTTGAAAAGGTAGACAAGAGCCAGAGAAAAGAATTTTGATTGCCAAAGTAAGGAGTTAGTATTTTATCTCAGAGATAATGGGGAGTTGTGGAAGCTTATGAAAACTCTCTTGGTGGCTTTGTAACAGGTAAATTAGAGAGGTGAGAGACTGAAAGCAGGAATAACAGTTAAATTAGTAAGCTGTTCTGATAGTTGAGGTGATATGGTTTTGTATGAGAAATGGAGAATGGAGTGAATAGAGAATGGGAGGTGGATCTGAGATGTTGCAGAGACAACTGAAAAGATGTAGTAACTGTTAAGGATTTGGGAGAGAAGAATTTAATATGATTCTCAGATTGCTAACTTAGACTGCAAGGATGATGGAGGCCTCATCAAAATAAAGGCAGTTATGGTGCAGGGTTGGGTTTGTGGCAATAGATAATGAGGACTCTTTTGGATGTGTCGAGTTTGAGATATTTTTGGTACATCCAGGTTGGAATACGTAGCTAGCAGTTGACATCTGTAGCTCTCAGGACAGATTTGAGAGACATGCACTATTAGGGTATGGGAGATGGATGGTGTGATGATAAGTAAACACTGAACAGGTACAGTTCGAGAGTAGGAGAACCAGAAGATTAATATCGCACACACCAAGGAGAGAGAGTGTATAGTAGCCCAGCATGGTCAAGAGTTGTCAGAAGCTATGAAAAGGTTGAAAAAGATGAGGACTAAGAAAAGTTTTTCAGGTTTTTTCAATTAGATCTTTGATAATTTTGGAGAGAACAGTTTCAAGTGCTGGGTTCAGAAGCCAGATTAGAAGGGGTTGACAGAGTGGGAGGTGAAATCAAGGCACTGAGTATAAATAGACGTAGATAGCTGTAGTTTATGAAAGATTTGCTTTTGGTCACACATGGTAAGGGTCAGAGGCAGGATCAAAGATTGTAGGATAATAGTTATAAAACCAGTAGGAAACATGGAGGTTTTCTAGTCCAGTCTCTCTTCATTTTTTAGAAGAGGAAACTGAGGCTAAAGTCCATATCAAAGATGGGATTTGAACACAAGTCCTCTGACTCGATTTATATCAGAATGCCTTTTGTAACCCAAGTCTCTCCTAATTCCAAGTCTTATGCTATTTTCTACTATATCATCTTTTCATTGATGATCCTGAGTTATCAAAAATAGGTTGAAGTATGTTAATCCTCTTTCCTAAAAAGGGAGCGGGAAATTACAGAAGTGTTATATAAGTATATGAAAGAGGTAGACTCAGAAAGACCTAGATGAATAAATTATTGATTGATCCATGTCTTTACCCCTCACTGGTTCCTGGGGAGGTCTTTCTTAACATCTCAATGCCCCCAGGCAACTCTCTATGATAATTAAGTTGAAGAAAAATTGCTGATAAGCATTGGTTGAGGGAATTGCCTCACCCAGAATTCCCTATATTAGTGAAGTCACATGTCTGGGGAAGAAAAACATCTTTAAAAAGAAAGGCAGAGAGATGTGTTATTCATTTTAATCACACTTCCATCAGTCATCCAGATAAACTAACTGTAAACACTAGAAGGATCAGGCATATCAATTGAAGCAAAAATTTTATTTTAGTTTTACTTCAAAAGAAAAATTTCACCCTAGCATTATTTTCTTTGGTTAAAAAACTGCATGCACTGTGTCAATTGATGCAACTTGGTTCTTAGAAGTTTTCTTAAAATCTAGTCCTTCTAGTGTTATATTTCACTTATTGGAAAATTGATTAAATGGAACAAAGCTTATCCTCCAAGAATTTTGCACAAATGAAAAACAATTAACTATTTCAACTGATCATCTTTAAAAATAGTTAATCCTTTTTAACTGGTATTAAGCCAATACATTGTATGTGTGTTTGTGTTGTGAGACAGATAAGATTACTCAATCAAATAGGCCTCCTCTGACTCATACTAATAGTGACAAACTCTAGGCTTCTTTACTTTTGTCATCCCGTAAAACAGAATGTGGGAGTTAGATCTTAGGATAAGAGGGAGCTAGTAATAGCAGTGATGTTGGAGCAGTGGTCCCAGAGTTGAAAGAATGAATTACTGGAAAATTTGTTGAAACAGCATTTTGTTACTAGCATTTAGGAAGGTATCTTTTTTCTTTAGTACATCCAGTTAAAGAGATTATAAGTGTCAAAAGGCTTTATTTGCAAGAGAAGTTCTTAGAAGATAGAATAGCGTTAGTATGTGAACTTCAGTTATGTCTACATTTGTAACAATAGTTTGTTCAACTACTTTTGGACTTTTGTTCAGTCATTTTTTCAGCCATGTTTGATTCTTCATGACCCCATTTGGGGTTTTCTGGACAAAGATACAGAGTGGTTTGCCATTTCCTTTTCCAGCTCATTTTACAGATGAGGGAACTGAGGCAAAAGGTGTTAAGTGACTTGCCCATGGTCACCCAGCTAGTGTCTGAGGCCAGATTTGAACTCAGGCAGATGAGTCTTCCTGATTCCCAGTCCAGTGCTCTATTCACTTCATTGCGTAGCTAACCTTGTTTTGGGCTGCCTACACAAATTATCTTTGTCAGTCTAAAGTTCTGTATTATTCTTACCTTTTGTTTAAGGTCTATAAGCTATATTAATTTTTTAGGTGTCATTATTTCAGTGCCTCATTTTAGACAATCATTTGAAGATTTAGTATTTTTCACTAGGATTCAAATTTTGAGAATAAATTATAAGTCTCATGTGACAAAAGCTACCTAAAGACAGAAAAGAAAGTTAGGTTTGTCTCTATCTCCTCAATTTGGGTAGCTTTTATGCCAAAGGAAAGCGATCTATCTTGGGACAACTACACCGTCTATTCTTTGATAGTCTTTAGGCATGTGTGATAGTAGTATATGTGTATTAAAAATCCTTGGGATAATGAGAAGGGGACGTTTTATTTTGTTTGGATTGGAATGTAGGTAGCACATCAACACTGCCAGTTCATTTGTGAAGTACTCATTATGCAGCTATTAAGCACCTACTATGTTCTCGACACTGATAGGTTTTAGATTGCATAATCTCAAGAAGAAACAGACATTTCCTTTTTGTCATTTGCAGAGCCCTATTTTTATATGTTTATATTTAGTCTTTTAAGTGCAGTCAGTTGTATAGTAAGATAAAACTACTTATCTTTTTCCAGCAAATTATTTTCCACCTTCTGATCTTACTCTACATGAACGTTTCTCAAAAATGCAAGATACACAAGTTCCTGATATAAATGAAATAAAAATGAATTCAGATCCAGAAATTCACAGGTAAATAACTTAATATTACTATTCCCATTTAACTCATGGGAATAAATGCAAAAAAAAACCCGAAAAACTCGTGGAGAAAGTGCTGCTGAGCATCTTCCCTGTTTTTGTTGTTCACTCTGGGTGCCTATACTTCATTTACGTTTCCTTTGACAGGAGAGGAATAGAACTACATAGCTTTACGTACCTTCTTGTGTGAGAATTATGAGAATTCATTGGTGCTAGAAGTTTGAGATGACATTTTGTCATTGGCCAGACTAAAGTAGCCCTTTTGAAGCTAGGGGAAAGAGTAGTGTAGAGTTGTGGCCACTGGATGTTTGAAAACTTATATCCTTATCCCATTGTTTATGTGGCAAGTCCTTTGGCATTTGGTGCTTGATGTTGACTCTGGCCCTCTCTTTTATCCTTTTATTAGAATGGGATCCCAGGGCTAATGAAGCAGGCAGACTATATTCTTAGTTATAAGCTAGTTTGAAAGGATATGCACTATATATCAATAATCTCATTGGCTTGTTCTACAGCAGAATATAATTTATTCAGGTGGAATGGTGTTTTGTATTGTTTTGTTTTTGAAACTATTGGCCTAGTATCAAAGAATTTTGCAGTCACTTCAGAAGACCTTCCTTCTCTATTTATTTCTCTATATTGTTTGCCTGCTGAAGTCATTAGTGAGGAATTCAGAATATAGTTGAAGTCATAGTGTTTTAGATAGTCTGTGTCTACTATCACTTGCCAGATCAAGTATCCAATGTGGCCAAGTTACTTTAGGGTTGACACACTACTAGAATCACCACAAAAGTTGAGATTTAAACTGTGTTTAGTTATTAGTATGATTTGCCTACTAAGGATTAGTAAATGAGTGCATCATTGCCTCACTATACTACTGTCCTGAAGGTCCCTGCTGAAGGACTGCCATGCCATGAAAACAGTCTCATAGCAAAGTCCTTGTATACTTTAGTGACCTAAATTTCTTCAGATGGGATCTGAAATAGACCAACTTTATTCTAAATTTGGTCAGATAGTGTTCTGAAAATGTTTCATTATTTGATTTACAGTTATTAATTATTGTCATATTTTTGTTTCAGAAGAATTGATATGTCTTTAGCAGAACTGCAGAATGAACGGACTGTGAAGTGTGAACCAGGACAGGTGGGTGGATGTAATTCTTCATTATGGAAAAATAAGAGTACTTTATTATTGATATAGTCTGATATAGTTCTGTTGATATAGGAGATTTTGATGCACCCCACACTCACTTGATCTAACTATGGGAATTATGTATATCATTGATTTGTGGTTAAAAACTCAAAATGTATCCGGATAAGTATACATGTGTCCAACCTCCCTCAAAGTCTAAGTGTTCTGGATCCAGGAGATAAAGCAGCATGAGTTCCAGGAAACCAGTTATGCCCAGAACTGGCAGGTTGATTCTGTCTGGCTTGAGGTGGTTAGACTGGATAGGAAGACAAAAGGAGCTAGAACCACTTAAAAATGCCTTCCTCCTCCCATGTGTACTCACCAATCATGAATGGTCCAGATAAGGTAAACAAGGGATGAGTGAAGTTCTTTGTTGTTAGGATTGAGTTTACACATTCGTTCATTCTAGCTATTTCCACCAATGTCCAAACACCCACCCCTTTTATCCTTGGAGGAGTGGGGAGGTGAAAGGTAGTATCTTAATTAGTCTGAATCTTACAGCTATTACTTTTTTTATTCTAAATTCCTGTTGTTTTACATGAGAATCAAAATTAATATTTTTGACTCCTGAACATTTTGTGGTTGACGTTTTAAAGTTCTTTTACCCTAAGTTATTGTTTTTTTCAGTATAATGCAATCTTGTCAAAATTCACATTAAACATAGGCTTAAACATTTTCCTGTGCCTTAAAAAGCCAACTTTTTGACCACTTAAAGCAAAACATAACAGAATAACAAAAGAATTTGAAACTGAAGTGCTTGCATTATGTTTTTATCTAAAAATTCATTTTTTTCTTGGCCTGTTTTTGTTTATATAGACTTCATATACTCATTATTGGCTAATTACCACAAATGCTAGCAAAAGCAAATATGCATGCCATTTTAGGTTGTTTATAGAGTTAGGCTATGACAATTCTGTTACCTTGAGTTTAAAGTGTGCTTCAATATAGCACAGGCATATGGACTATAATAAGATGATAATAGACAAAAAAGAATATTTCATCATGTGAGTATTCTCTAGGAACATACAATATTGCAGATGATGTATAAAATCAGAACCATATAATTCTAAGAGTATATAAGTTTTGAACTTCAGACAGGTAAAATGTACTTGGTGATTTTTTTTAATTACATGTGAAATTATACTTTAAAATGGAGTTAAATTTCTTTTTATTCTTTACTATGTAATTTAAGAAAAATACAATGAAGTATAAAGTAGAAAAATATTCCATATAAAATTTAATTTCTTAGTCTACATATCCTTATTTTATATCATACACAATCGTTCCCACTTCTTTGCTGTTGGAGAAAGTGATTTTACTATCAGATCTATAAAAGAGAGAAAAGTTCATGAACAAACAAAAGAATAGATAGTCATTGAAGATTAAATGGATAATTTTGATTATATCAGATTGAAAAATTTTTTTATACATACAAATCTAAAAAAGCTAAGATGAAAAGGGAAACTATTAGGGAAAAATCTTTGCAGCAATTTTATCTGAAAAAGATCTCATTCTAAGATACATAAGGCACTGATTCAAATTTATGTGGAAAAAGAGTCATTCCTCAACTGACAAATGATCTTATGGATTTCAACAGAGAGAAGAAATCCAGGTTGTCTATAGCCATATGAAAAATGCCCCAAATCACTACTAATTAGAGAAATGGAAATTAAAGCAGTTCTGAGAGTCTGCCTCACGTTCCGAGTGCCAGAGATGACAAAAAAGGAAAATGCTAATAGCTGGAGAGGCTGTTAGCTATTAGTGGGAAAATAGGCAGATGGATGCACTTTTGTTGGACCTATGAATAGGTACATTTATTTGGGAAAACAATTTGGAATTACACACCAAACATTATTAAATAATGCCTACTCTTTGACCCAGCTTTAACACTATTAGGCCTATGCCCAAAAAAGATCAAAGAAAGAAGAAAAGGTCCTTTATATGCTTAAATATTTATACTAGCTCTTTTTTTATTGCAAAAAACTGGAAACTTAAGTGGATGTCCATCAGTGGAGGAATGACTTAGTGTTGTATATGGATGTGAGTACCATTATGTTGTATGAAATGAGGAAATAGATAATTTCAAAGATATCAAAAGATTTACATAAACTGATAGAATGAAGTAAACAGAATCAGAAGAACAATTTATCTTGTAACAGTATTAGAACAATGAATAATTTTGAGGAATTTTATAAACTGAAGAATGAATTGAGCAGAACCAGGAGAACAACATATATAACAACAACAACACTGGAGAAAATAAGAAACTTGTAAGATCAGTGATCATTACAAAGACCATTTATGATTCTAGACTACTGATGATGAAACCTACTATCCATTACACAGAGTTGATATAATAAAGAACAGAATGAAACATATGTATATAAATATGTATTTTTTAACACTATCGAGGGAATTTGGTTTAGCATCATATTTGTTAAAAGGATTTTTCCCCCCAGTGGGGTGGAGTATGAGAGGGAGAGAAAATAGATTTCTGTTAATTTTTTTTTAAGTAGAGAAGTGTGTATGTAGGTGCTACAGGTATGAAAGATGAAGTCGATGTAGTATTAGCTTTACTTAAAGATTTGACCTTGTCACAAGACCTCTCACGAAATGGTAGTGATCTGTAATATTTGTAATTTCAAAACCAAATACACAGAACTTAAGTTAAAAGTTAAAAAAAAAAAACACTTTGCTAGCCAGGGAGTGAAAAGATTCTTGCTATATATTTTTCTCCTTGTAGAAAAGAGCAGTGAATTAAACTTGGGTGGTGGGGAGGGGGCCAACAGCTTTTCTAGTTTTCTGAGAATAATGAAGTAGCTTAGTTATTGCCCCATTTCTGAAGGGAGTCCAAACAGAAAATTCAGAGTTCATGAAATTATTAAATTAATGTTTAATCTTTTAGGTAATGGTTTAATTTTATTGGATGAATTATTTTAAAATAAGCTTTTACAAAGCACTTTAGATGTGAAATGTGGCTTCCTTTCCAAAAGAAATAGTAATAAAATGGACTGTATTCATAATTCATAATCATCATTTCTCAGGCCTTGGTCAGAGTAATAGAAGATCCCAATGATCTCCGCCATGACATTGAGAGAAGGAGAAAAGAACGATTACAGAATGAAGATGAACGGATTTTTCACGTAGGTGGAGCTATACGAAGGTAATTAGTTTTCTTTTAGATGAAAAAACAGAGTTTACTATTTACTCATGTTGATATTTGTTCAGAATGAGAATTTTTGTGGTGATAATTTTCAGTATTTTGGGAATGTGAACTTGAAATGCTTCACAGTTAAGTTGTTTTATAATACAGGTTTGTAAAGTTCTATAATTCTTCAAGTCTGAGCTCCCGCCCTACCTTCTCTAGTAAGCTGCTGTTCTCCCCAGCTGGAAGTGATCTCTTCTTGGATCTTTCATAATACTTGGTATACTTGTGTGCTTGTCTATTTACCTACTAGATTATTAACATTTTAAAGATAGAGATTGTCTTTTATTCATTTTTGTATTTTCTCAATGTCTAGCAATGTAACTTCCACTCTGTAATCAAGAAAGTTTTTAATTATAATAGCTAATATTTTTATTGTACTTTAAGGATTGCAAAAAGTTTCACATACATTACCTCATGTGACCTTCACAATAACCCTGTTATGTGGGTACTACAGGTAGTGTTTTGCCCATTGTGGAGCTGAAGAAACTAACCTCACATAAGTTAAATAACTTGCACTTGTGATTATATAGCTAGTAAGTGTCAGAAACAGGATTCAGAGCCATCTCTCTCCTAATTCCAGTTCAGGAGTTCTTTCCATTATACTGTGTTATCTTTTATGTCCTTTCCTCTTCCTACTTCTCTTATTGGATTGAATTGAGTAACAGTTTTAAGAAAGTGGGTGGATATAAAAGTTTGTTCCAACTCACTATTAAGAAATGCAAATTCAAACAGTTCTAACATTTTGCTTTATGTACAGCAAATGGCCAACCATGTCAAAGGACAAATAATCAATGTTCAAGAGTCTGTGGCAAGATAGATGCAGTAGTATACTATTGGTCAGCTCTGAATTGGTCTCACATGTTTAGAAAACTATGGAATTTTGCAAAAATGTGACTAATGCCATAAGGTCTGGAAAGGAACCTTAATATCCCTCTATTTTCGGAAGAGTTCCTCTGCGAACATCTTCAGTCTCTCTACTCTCTTTCTTCCATTGGTGAGTTTGTCTAATTTTGTGGAGGGGACCACGTCAGCAATGTTTCATTGTCTTCCTGGCTGTGCTTCTGAATCTCTAGACTTGTTCTGTACGTCCATTCTCCCACACCCTGCCACCTTTTTTAAAGCTCCTTTTTTCTGTGATTCTTCCCCTCCATTGGAATGTAAGCTTCTTAAAGGCAAAGACTGACTTTGTTTTTGCTTATATTTGTATCCTAATTGCTTAATAAATACCTGTTGCTTGCATGTCTTAGAGGTTATATCTAGACCTTGTGATTCGGAGATCTTTTACGAGGCACATATCCATGAAAGTCAAGGACTGAAAGGTCCCATATGTACCAAAGTATGTATTGCAGTATTTTGTATAGTAGCAAAAGAGTGGAAACAAAGGAGGTACCCATCAATTGGAGGACGGCTCAACAAATGGTGGTATCTTTGTGTAATGGAGTATCATTACCTTGTAAGAAGTCATAAATAAGAGGAAATCAGAAATAACATCAAAGGACTTGTATAAATTCAGAGTGAAATAGGCAGAATCAAGAAAACACTGTGTACAATGACTTTTATAAAAATAAAAGGAAAGCTAATTACATGTAATTATATAATGACTCATTTTGGCTCTAGGTAAGATAAGAAATGTGACTCCCTCTTTCATTGGAGATGAAGTAGTATGGAGAATGTTGCCTGTGTTGTCAGAGTGTTGATTACTTTTGCTCAATTGTTTTTCCTTTGTTACAAAGGAGGGCTCACTGGGAGAAGGTATATAGTCATAAATGACTGATGTAAGCAAAAAGCATCAATTAATTTTTGAAAATATAGGTTGAATGTTCAAGCAGGAAAGAGTGTTTGTTATTGACTTTCAGAATTATATAGAAAATACTGCACCTCATCAGGTCTTATCCCTCAACTTCTTTACTACTAGCAGAAACCAGAAGCAATGAGTTCAATATTTGGATAGATCATACAGAATTTTCCGTTTAGGTGATAGAAAATTGAATGTTAATATATTGTACTGTATCATGTGGTGGATTTTAAGAAATGATTGTGTCCTCTGTATTTGCTTGAGTGCAAAATTCACATTTTTAATCCATTATAGATTAAAAGCAAGTACTACCCTCTGCCTTTCATAATGGTGAGGATGTTTCACAATTTAGAATTAGTAAGAAATTAATGAATTTGTTCTGTGCTCTTTGACCTAGAGATTCCTTTCCTAGTCATATTTACCAAGGAAGTTAGAAAGTTATTGTATGTGCATCAGTATTCAGTGGTAGCACTAAAGAGGTAGCACATACTTGGAAGCAAGATAGATATCCATTGTTGGGAAAATGGCTAGACAAATTGTGGTACAACAGTGCAGTGGAATTGCTGTACCATAAGAAACAATGAATACTAAGAAATTAGAAAACCATGGGAAGACTTTTGGAACTGATGCAAATTAAACAGAGCCAAGAAAATATTATAGGTGTGATGACCACAATAATGTAAATGAAAAGAAGAAACAGAAAACAAATTGAATGCTGGGTAATTACAAAAACCAACATTAGCCCAAAAGAAGAGAGGAGAAAATATAACCTCCCTCCTTTTATTATGTGCATAGAAGACCATGGGTAGGGAGCACTTCATGTACTCTCAGTCAACAAGTATTTACTAAATACTTGTTATATGCCAGGTACTGTGCTAGGTGCTGGTAGAAATAAAAGACAAAGAATGAAAGTTTCTACTCTCAAGGATTTTAAATTCTGTAAGAAAAGTGTGTGTGTGTGTGTGTTTATGTGTCTGTCTATAGGTGTGTGTGTGTTTATGTATTTACAGAATAAGTATAAAGAAAAAAAACAAGGTGATGAGTAAGGAAAGGCATTAGCAGTTGGAGGAATCAGGGAAGAATTAATGTAGAAGGTGCTTTAACGTAACTCTACCTTGAAAAAGGAAAGGTTCTGCCAGGAGGAGATCATGCCACGTGGGGGTGGGAGGGCATGTGACAGCCAGTGCAAAGGGACAGAGATAGGTGATGGAAGAGCATCTGTAAGGAATGGGATGGAAAGGGGTGTAAATGGCACTGAGGCCAGAGAGAGGTATTGGCCAAGTTGTAAAGGACTTTAAAAGCTCAACAGAAGAGTTTATCTTTTATCTTAGAAACAATAGGGAGACAATGGAATTTTTTTGAATAGAGAAAAGTAACATAGATCTGCCAATCTCTGGGGAGGGATTTGAGGCCATTTAGAGAGACTGATTAGGTGGCTACATGAAGGGTGATGAAAGCCTAAACTAAAGTTGTGGCTTGTCGGAGTAGAGCAAAGGGGTAGGCTCTGAGAACGATAGTGGAGGCAGAAACAGCAATATTTGGCAACTGGTTATGTGAGTGATGGAAAGTGGGGGACTAGACAAATGGTGTACTTAGGGGAAGTGTGGAAGAGGTGTGGTTTTGGGGGAAAGGTAATGAGCTCTCTTTTGGACTTGTTAAGTTTATGATGTCTCTGCGACATCTGGTTTGAAATGTGTGTTAGGAAGTTGTTAGAACAGGACTGGAAAGGCCTTCTACAAAAAGTAGCTTTTTGTTTGAAACCTTAAAGGAAGCCAGGGGAACCAAGAGACCAAGAACATTCCAAGCCTGTGAGACTGCCAGTGCAAAGACACACACAGAGACAGTGCCACGTAAGAGGAAATGCAAGTGGTCCAGTGTAGCTGGATCATTGTGTGTGGAGGGAAATATAACATAGGAAGGCTGGAAAGATCAAAAGGGCCCAGGCAGCAAATAGCTTTTAATGCCAGAGGACTTGATATTTGGTCTTATCAGTAGTAAGTAATCATTGAGAGGGGTGGCATCTTCAGAACCTATATTATAGAAAAATAACGTTGGCAATTCTACTGCAGTAGTGTAGGCAAGAGGTGATAAAAGACCTGTGGCAGTATGATTATAGAAAAAGGAATGTGAATGAGAGATGATGTGAAGGTAAAGACGAGAAGATTTGGCAACAGATTAGATTTGTGGGTTGAATGAGAATGAAGAATTGATAATAACACCTAGGTTGTGATCCTGAGTGGGAGAGGATGGTAATTCCCTTCATATTAAAAGGGAAGTTCAGAAGGGGAAGACTTCTAGGAGAAAGAAAATGAATTCTCTTTTATACACGAGTTAGATGTCCAAGAAGCAGTTGGAGATGCGTTACTGTAGTTCAGGAGAGAGATTAGGACTAGATAATTTAATAATCAGTTAGGGAGAAATGGAATTCTTTGCCTTGCAGCATTGAGGACCCAGTTGAGGTTACATAGCATGCATTTGTAGTAAACTTATTCTGTACAGTTTCATGATTTCCTTCAGCCCCATTTAGCAAGACATGAATAAGAGCATAAAAGGCTAGTGGAGTAATTTAGGATTAGGGCTTCGTTATGGTGTGGTCGCTGAGGACAAGAAGGCAAGAGATACAGGGGTGAAACGGGTGAAGCATAGTGAAGAGTTGAGTGGGTTTACTAAGAGATTGAGATAGGGATGACAGAACAGAGTAGGCAGTGTTTAGGGGTGATGGTATAGGAAAGCTGAGAGAAGGAGGTTATAGTGAGGATTGAAGATGAGGATTCATAAGGCATGAGGAAAGATGGAATGAGAAAAGATTATGATCAGATAAAGAAATTTTACCGTTTAAGAACAAGGAAGTGAAACATTTGTGGACGATGGCAAAGTTAAGAACATTTCTTTGTGTTCTTGAATGGTTGAGGAGTAGGTCACAGAAACTGACTAGATTGGGAAACTAGGAAGCTGGGATACTTGAAGGAGTATCAATATCTATATTCAAATCCCCTAGCATAAGGGTAGTAAATGGAATGGAAAAAAAGATTGAGCCAGGCACTGAGCTTATGGATGAAAGAACGAGAATGTCCGGGGGATAGGGTTGATAAATAATAGAAACCAGAAACTAAATTAAATGATAAATTCAAATAATATTGGAGAGAAGAGGTTATTTAATGAAGGTAGTCAATTAAGTGTCTCAAAGTGGCAGCAGGGGGAGCAAGGAAATATTCCAACTCCCCTACTACATTAAGTGATGGGAATCATAATAGCACCTACCTTACCGTGGTTGTTGTCAGGATCAAATAAGATAATAAGGTTGAGTATAAAACAAAGTGTAACCAGTGATAGAAAGGTTTAAGAGTGAAGCAGTGTTGTTGAGGAACCATCTATCGATGAGGGCCAGAAGATGGAAGAAATGAGAAAGAAAAAGTTTAAGACAAAAAGTTAGTTTATTAGAGAGTAGGCATTCTGTAGTGTACAGTTCAATGGGAAGGCAGATCTAGAGTGAGACATTGGGGTTGTAGGGTTGACTGTGCGTGTGAGGAAGTCACTATTCCATAATGGGGAATAAGTTTTGTACATCATCCCCTAGGAGTTTATCAGTGGGATGCTTACAGCGTAAGAAGATTAAGGTATGCTAACCATTTAGCAGTGAGTCCAGGTAAAGCATTAATTGTTAGAGAGTTTATTATGACGTATGAAGGTTCAGTCTCCTGGAACATACTGTGTCCTGATAGATCAAAGAAAATCTACCACACACTAGGCAGAGGTAGAAAAGCCCTGCCGGGAGGCTAGGATAACTTTTTGTTTTGAAGAAAACCCTAGGTGGGGAGTGGGGTGGGGGTCAGGACAATCCTAGAGGTATGCAGTGCCTGCCACCATCCACCCCTACCCCCAGGTAAGAACAAAGTTGGCTTGGGAAGTCAGAAGGTGCTCTGGGCAACAGGTGCTCTTGGTGGTCAGGAATCTTCCCCTTCTCACCACTTAAGTATTATGTAAAACTTGTCAAACAAAATCTCTGCTAATGACTGATCAGTACTAAGTAATAAAAAACGTAGAAGGCTGCATTGAGGCTTACAGCAAATTACCTCTGTGCCCTGGGAAATCATGGAGAAGAGCTGTTTCGAGGATATGGAGCTCACTAGCTGCTGTTTAGGGCTATCTGTGCCATAGTCCATTCCTCTGCCTTACATCTATATTCTCTTCTCTGGCTCATCAGTTCATCCTCTCATTCATTTTTTTCCTAATCTTACTCTCATCTTTATGCTTCCTTTCTTGCCTTATATTTTGAGGAGAAAGTACTTTTCTCAGCCCTCTAGAAGCCCAGAACATAACTTAAGTTTTCTTGAACAAATTGTGGTCTCAGTGTCTATGAACAGTTTTCATCTGAATGATTTTCTCTCCATTAGGGCAAACATCCTTAGGCTCTGTGATCCCCTTAATGGTAAAACATCAGTATCCAAAGTCGGATCCTAGGTCTCTGCAACCCACAGATACACTGTAGTAATAGCTTAGTATATTCTATAACATACCTGATTTCCATTTCATAATCACAGAATTTATCAAGAGCTTGCATTCACTGTTAAGTATAAATGGGTTCAAGAATGATTTAGATATCTTCATCAGTGTTAGATCCATAACATTATTAAGGCAGTTTAGAAACATTGGGATATAACTTTAATCTTTAATGATGCTGTAAATGCAACTCCCAGGTTCTCCCACAAAATGTTCCTTGGAGCTGTCCACTGTCAAAAATACAGAAATGAGTTGTAAAGACACAGTAAGTTGCTCTAACAGTCTTAAGAATTAGATACAGCCAAGTGTTGCAGTAGATAGAGCACTAGACTTGGAGTCAAGGAGACTTGTTCAAATTGAACCTCATCATTTGCTAGTTGTGTGACCCTGGGCAAGTTGTTTAGCCTTTGCCACAGTTTCCTCAGTAAAATGGGAATCATAATAGCACCTACCTTACAAGGGTTGTTGTCATGATCAAATGAGAGAAGGTGCTTAGTACAGTGCCTGACACATTATAGATGCTTAATAAATTCTTATGTTTTTGTTTATGTTTTTCTAATAAAGAAAACTCTCATTTGGTATTTGGAACCCTCATAAATTTTAATTTGAAATATTATAAAAAGTCAATTTCATCCTTAAGTGAAATTTATAAAAATTAAAACTTTTAAATGTGAATTTTTGTGTATATGATATAGAAGTTTCAGTGTTTTTAAAAATGGAGATTATTTGTTTCTATTACTAACCTCTCAATTGGACTACATGGATTTTGTATAGGATGAAAATTTTGGATATGGGACATAATTTGATAAGATTAAGATTTTCAAGCTTAGTAGTGAATTTAAAAGTCTGAAGGAGTTCACTATTGTTTATAATTCATGATTTTAAAAGTTTGAGTTTTAGTTCTTATATTTTAAGACTGCAGGAAATTTGCTAATTTTATGATTTACTTTGGTATTAGAAATATAAGTGGAATAATTTAAATCATGATTTAGTAGAGGTAGCTATGTGAACATGTATGTTTAAGGTAGTATATTAACCCTATAGGATTTGACTTATCATTTTAATAATTTTTACTATGGTTGTATTTCCTCTAAATACTACCGCCAGCCATTTCCTACTTGGATCAGTACAGAGGAACTATCAAACTGAAAATTTGTGTCCAATCCCAATTTGACACATTATTACCAATTATAGCAATAGTTACATTTATCCTAAGGTCATTTTTCTTTCAACTTCAGCTGTGTAGAACCATGGAGAACCAAAAAGTAAGTAAAAGGGCTTTAAGCACACAAAAAATAGGAACATTGACACGCCAAAGCTCATGTGTTTTCCTCAGAACCCTTCATGTTCTCATACTGGACTTATTTACTCTAATTTGACAAAAAAATCCTAAGAAATTGGCGTGAGTAGATGTGGGCCTACTAGTAGGTGGAATCCTACTGACTCTCTGAAGCAATACTTGACAGCCTGATAGTGAGGAAAGAGAAAAGTAAAAATGTCAGCTGTCTTAAGACATTTAATTTAGTTGTAAACAACTCTAAATAGTCCCCGAGAGGGCTTTCAATCACTGTTTTGGCAAAGTTAATAGTTGATATCCATAAGGATAATAACTGAGTCCTCAGAAAAGGGGGTTAAATTTTTGTTCAGCATATGAAGAAGTTAGGGAAGTTTTAGAAATATTTTAGGAAGATTTTCATCAAAAATGGCTAAATTAAGAACTTGGTGTTTGAAATAGTAAATTTTAATTTCTGAAAAATTCACTTTCTTTAATTCATTGATCACATTTATTAAGCACCTGCTGTTATGTCAGAAAAGCAAAGTATTACAACATTAAATTGTGATCGTCTTTAACAGAGCCTACTTTTGGTTTGGGATAAGATTATGTTGACATAAGAGTAAAAGTGTTTTGAAATAAGTTAAACATTTTTTCTTTCTTTCATTCGACCAGGAATGATCAGAACTCCAATTTTTCAAAATTTCAGAATGTCCATACAAGTGGATTCCAAAAGCCTATAAGATTTATTAAACCATACTTCAGGAAATTTATTAGAAAATCTTACAAGGTAAGACAACAAAAAGCAAATTCTTTATTGTTAATATTTTTCTTTTCCTGCCTCACAGAGTAAGGCTTAATTGGGTTGGCAGAAATTATGAAAATTGCTGCTGTTTCTTCCTCTTGGACAGCGAGTAAATGCTACAAATTTTTATTTTATACTAACTTCTTTAAAAATTGGATGAGAAGTGGTTGGTGATTTGAAAAAAAAAAAGCCTTTTTTTAAAAAAAAATTCTATCCCTTATAAGAAAGATTAAAAAAGAGTGAAAAATAATTCAGCAAAACTAACCACAATGCCATTACATTCTCAAAGCTGTCTGCCTCTTTTTACCTTACCCCTAACCTTTCAGTGAAGAGTGGGAACTGCCCTTTCATTGCTAATTTGGGGCCTGACTTGATCATAAGATTTTTCAGCATTCTGTTTTGATTTTGTTGTTCCTTCCATTTACATTGTATATCTTGTTTTCTTGTTTCATTTTATTTCACGTCAGTTTGTGTAGGTTGTCCCATACTTCTGTATTTATCACATTCGACATTTCTTATAATAGAAATAACCCACATTCCATTAATTTTCAGCCATTCTGCAACCCATGGAAATCTGTCTTGTTTGCAGTTCTTTTCTACTACAAAGAAAATACTGTCACAAATATTTCAGTGTATACAGGATCTTACTTTTTATTAACGAACTACTTGGAGTATATAACTAGTATGCTCTGGGTCAGAGTATGAATATTTTATCACTTTCTTATGATTGCAAATTACTATTCAGAATGATTTGACTAATATACAGCCCCACCAACAGTAATACTGTACCTTTTTTTATTAAAAATGTTTAATTCATTTTTTTTTCAGTTCTTAATTCTTGTCTTCCCCTTCCCCTCTTCCCTTGAGAAGGCAAGAAAAACAAACACCGTTACAAATATGTACAGTCATGCAAAACAAATTCCGACATTAACTATATCCAAAAAAAAGAGAGAGAAGGAAGGAAAGAATATATGTTTCAATTTGCGCTTTTTAAGTCTGTCACTTTTCTTTCTAGAGGTGGATATGTTTCATCATGAGCCCTTTGGAATTGCTCATTTGTGTAAGATTTTCTGAATTAAATATTATTGATGTTCATTTATGTCCCAACCAAACTGCTTTTCGGTTTACCCAGCAGTTTTTGTAAAATAGTGAGTCCTTCCCTATATAATTTGGATATCAGACTTTTACTTGATGCAAAGCTTTTTTCCCCATTTAATTTTAACTTTCTAACTTTAACTTCATAGATTTTGTTTGTTCAAAAGCCTTCCAATTTTATGTCATGAAGAGTGACCATTTTATCTCCTATGATCCTCTTGATCCCTTGATTAGGCAAAAATTCTTTTATCCATAGCTGTGAAAGGAACTCGTCTTTTGCTTTTCTAATTTGTTTATGGTGTAGCTTTTAACATTTACAGGTCGTGTATCTGTTTGGAGCTTAGGGTCACACACACACACACCCACCCACCCACCCACCATGTACAGCCACACTCACTCATTCTCCCTCTATGATATATGAGTCCAAACCTGATTTCCGTCAGACTGCTTTCAAGTTTTCCTGGCAGTCTTTCCCCCAGGAGGTGGAATCTTAGACTTTATTGAACCATAGATTATGTTCCCTGGCTTCTGGAACTTGTGTTGGTAATCTGTCCCACTGATCAATTTTCCTTTTTTTTAAACCAGTCCAAATAGTTTTAATGATTACTGCTTTTTAGTGTAATTTGAGATGTGGTACTCCTTCTTGCCTAGTTTCTTTCATCATTTTTAAAATTAATTTATTCATTTTTAGTTTTCAACATTAACTTCCACAAGATTTTGAATTCCAAATTTTCTTCCCATCTCGTCCCGTCCCCAATCCAAGATGGCATGCATTCTGAATGCCCCTTCCCCTAATCTGCCCTCCCTTCTATCTCTCCTCCCCTTCTCTTATCCCCTTCCCCTTCAGTTTTCTGGTAGGGCAGGATAGATTTCTATACCCCATTTCCTGTATATCTTATTTCCCAGTTGCATGTGAAAATGACTTTTTTAACATTTGTTTTTAAGACTTTGGGTTCCAAATTTTCTTCCTTCCTCCTTCACCACCCACCTCATTGAGAATGCAAGCAGCTCAATACAGGCTATACATGTGTAGTCATGCAAAATGCTTCTATAGTAGTCATGTTGTGAAAAACTAAATATATTTCCCTTAATCCTATCCTCCTCCCATTTAGTCTGTTCTCCCTTTTGACCCTGTCCCTCCTTAGAAGTGTTTGCTTCTGATTACCCCCTCCCTTCTATCATCCCCCTGCTCTCTTGTTCCCTTCCCCCTATTTTCCTGTAGGATAAGATAGAGTGTGTATATTATTCCCTCCTTAAGCCAAATCTGATGAGAATAAAATTCACTCCTTCCCTCTCCCCTTCGCCTGTTTCCCCTCCACTATAGAAGTCTTTACTTGTCTATTTTATGTGAGATAATTTACTCCATTTTACCTCTCCCTTTCTCCTTCTCCCGGTATAATCCTCTATCACCCCTTAATTCTATTCTCCAGATACCACCACTTCACCTTCAGCTCACCCTATGCCCTCTATCTATCTATCTGTGCATCTATCTATCTGTCTATCTGTCTATCTATATATACATACATACATACATACATATAATTTTTTCCCTCCAACTACCCTTATACTGACAAAGATCTCATGAGTTACAAATATCATCTTTCCATGCAGGAATGTAAAGAGTTCAACTTTAATAAGGCCTTTATGATTTCTCTTTCCTGTTTACTTCTTCATGTTTCTCTTGAGTCTTGTATTTGAAAGTCAGATTTTCTGTTCAGCTCTGGTCTTTTCATTTCACTGAATGTCCATTTTTTTCCCCTGAAAGATTACCCAGTTTTACTGGGTAAGTGATTCTTGGTTGTAATCCTGTCTCCTTTGACGTCTGGAATATTATATTCCAAGCCCTGCTTAATGTAGAAGCTGGTAAATCTTGTGTTATCTTGATTGTGTTTCCATAATACTTGAATTCTTTCTTTCTGGCTTCTTTCAGTATTTTCTCCTTGACCTGGTAGCTCTTCAATTTGGCTACAATATTCCTAGGAGTTTTCCTTTGGGGATCTCTTTCAGGAGGTGATCAGTGGATTCTTTCAATTTCTGTTTTGCCCTCTGGTTCTGAAATATCAGGGTAGTTTTCCTTGCTAATTTCCTGAAAGATGATGTCTAGGCCCTTTTTTTTTTCATCATGACTTTCCGGTAGTCCAATAATTTTTAAATTATCTCTTCTGGATCTATTTTCCAGGTCAGTTTTTCCAATGAGATATTTCACATTTGTTTTCTATTTTTTCATTCTTTTGGTTTTGTTTTACAGTGTCTTCATTTCTCATAAAGTCACTAGCTTCCTATTGCTCCATTCTGATTTTTAAGGAAGTATTTTCCTCAGTAAGCTTTTGGACTTCCTTTTCCATTTGTCCAGTTTTGCTTTTTAAGGCATTCTTCTCCTCATTGGCTTTTTGGACCTCTTTTGCCATTTGGGTTAGGCTAATTTTTAAGATGTTATTTTCTTCAGTATTTTTTTGGGTCTGCTTTAGCAAGCTGTTGACTTGTTTTTCATGATTTTCTTGCATCACTCTCATTTCTCTTCCCAGTTTTTCCTCTACTTACTTCTCAAAATCCTTTTTGAGTTCTTCCATGGCCAATTCATATTTTTCTTGGAGGCTTTGACTTTGTTGTCTTCTTTTAGTTGTATGTTTTGATCTTCTTTGTCACCAAAGAAAGATTCTATGGTCTGACTTTTTTTTTGCGAAGTTTGCTCATGATCCCAGCCAATTATTTGAGTTATAAACTCTCTGTTAAGGTAGGGGTCTGCTTCCAGTGTGGAGAATGTACTGTCCCAAGCTTCAGGGGTTTTGTGCAGCTGTTTTCAGAGATACTTCTAGGGACCTGTAAATTTTCAGTTCTTCCAAGGTGGTATGATAAGGGGCGAGGTATTTACTCCTTTTCTGGCCCATACTTTGGTCTATGAGTGACCACAAGCACTCTTTTCTGCCTTGGAACTGTGAGGAGGATTCTCTCTCCACAGCCACTACAAGCTTCACTGTGCCAGTGCTCCTCCTCGCCACCCAGAACTGACCCAGATCCAAGCACCGGCAAAGCCAGAGAATCCTGCATCAGCAGAGAGATCCCTGCAATCCCCCATTACTAGCCACTCAATTCCCTCTTAGTCTGTGGGCCCGAAGCCCCAGACGGTGCCACCGCCCCGGGGTTGTAGCTGGGACTGGGGCTGGGACTGAGCTTCCCTCTCACCGCATTCACAGACTTTTCCTTCTGACCTTCTAAGTTGTCTTAGGCATTCTCGGGTTGAGAAGTCTGGAAACTGCCACAGCTGCCTGTGATTCAGTCCTCTGAGGGCTGCTCCAAGGTTCGCTGAGGCCTTTTTTGCCTGTGAGCCCACATTGAACTGCGTTCCTTTCCCAGCCAGGTGCAATAGACCTTTCCAGTCAACCATCCAGGTTGTCTTGGGCTGGAAATTTGTTTCACTGTGTCTTCTTGTGGGTTCTGCTGCTTTAGAATTTGTTTAGAGCCATTTTTCACAGGTATTTGGAAGGGTTTGGGGGAGAGCTCAAGCATGTCACTGCTTTTACTCTGCCATCTTGGCTCCACCCCCTCTTTCATCATTTTCCTTGATACTCTTGAGATTTGCTCTTCTAGATGGCTTTTGTTATTTTTTCTAGTTCTGTAATGTCTTCTCACATCTCTTTATTTTAATTATGCTTGATCTTTATAATTTTATTATGTTCACTTTTGATTTTTTTTGTTATATGTTTCTATTGTAGTTATTGTGTACACTGTTTCTTGGCTCTGCTTACTTCACTGCATCAGTTCATGTAAATCTTTTCATGTTTCTCTGTATTCATCATGTTCATCATTTTTATAACATAGTAATATTCCATTACATTCATGTACTGTAATTTGTTAAGCCATTCCCCTGTCAGTGGGCATATACTTGGTAT